CCCTGGTCTCTCCATGACTCCCCATATGCCCTTTGCAAAGGGTGTTTTTCCACTTTCCAGAATGTACACTTTCCAAGATGAAATTACTACCAGCTGGTAGCTAGTCACATGGAAAAACGTGGTTTCAACCCTTTTGATAAAAAATGGCAGCTCATATCAACTGTTACTCAGGGATATGTTGACAACTGTCAGTTTATTTCTGAATATTTGTATTTAGGAGTCCAAAATAAATGTTCACATTCAAGACTGATGTGGCCAAACTTACGCCAGGAAGAGTTAAGGAGAACAGATTATGTATGACCAGTAAGCTGAAAGTCATTCATGTGAAGATGGCAAATACTGAAAGCATCAGGTAAAGCAACAGGGCAGTTATGCAATCATTTTCAAGCTTATATTTACTAAATAATTTGAGCCTGATTCACCATTAAATTATGCAGTACATAATTGCTTATGTTTCCAGGTTCACATCTCTTATCCTCATGAGAAAGTAAATAATAGCTTCAAACGAGATCTGAAATTAAGTTCAGTGTTGGAAAACATTCAAGTTCTTTTCAGCCTCATCTAAACATTTCCCTCTCAAGATAATAACTTTCCTACCTGTTCACAGAAGTTTGCAAATATTTAACTCAAAATCAAATCTGGAATGCTTATGCTTTTGAAAGTGTTTTCTTCATGGCAGAAAACAAAGAAAAAAAAAGAGAAGCCTGAAACTGGTGTAAGAATGACTGCTTTGAAACAAGGTGAAAGCCAATGGAGCATTGTTAGCCCAAGAGTCAAAAATCTATTGAAAAGGAAGCGGGAGAGAAGGTCAAGCAAAATGTGTAAATACTGGCTCTGTAGGAAATCTCTGCAATGTCATAGTCTTAGCTTGCACCACACACTGGAAAGCTAAGTCATCCCATAAAATCTTTAACTTCCACACCATAATTACCCTGGCATCTCTGGGTGGGCCCATGCTCCTTGCAGTTTACTGTGCAAAGGAAGGAGAACTCCTGTCATAGGGCACCCCAGAAGGTGCCTGTGCCCTTCTTCCCTCTCCAAAGGAAGTGGAGATTTCTGCTAGCCCCTTGAGGGTTGGCCATCACATTCAAGGAAGTACTGGTCTTTCTTCTGCTTTTTTGCCTGGATATTTGGAGACGGTGAAATGCTCCAGATCACACAGAAAACTGGGTATTTTTTTCAAACCATATGCAAAGGGAGCACATAGTTTGACTTCCTTCCTAGGCTTCTTCATTCCTCTGACTTCTGGACAAGTCATGCCAGCAGAAAAGCATATTGCCCATGGAATATGGTCAGGATAGTTTTCTGGCAGTCATGCAATCCCTTTCTCCAGCAACGCCCTCCTCCGGCCAGGTTGCCCTCACAAACACATGGTCTTAGATACCTCTTCCAGCCACAGGACCCTGCTTGTCCCCCAGTTGCACATTCCCTGCTCTTCTGAGAGCCAGGTCGCTCCCTGCAGGAGGGGCAGCTGGTCCCACTAAGCTCCCAGTTTGGAGAGCATGGGTACTTTCACCCTCCTTGAGAGGCAAGGGTTTGATCTCACCCTCAGCGTCCACCAAACCCTCTGCAGGGCAGCTCCTGCCAGTTCAAAACCCTGCTCTCCCCCCACCTCCCGCATTCTGTGCTCTGAGACCCAGGGAGCAGATATTCCTTCAGGCAGGCATTACGGTGGTGTTGCTTCTCCCTGCCCCAGGGGTGCTGGCCTGCCTCCCTCGCCAAGGGCTGGAGGTGCCCGTAACAAACCGCTCCAGCCAAACCGGACAGGTTACAGGTAGTCCCAACCGATTTTGCAAGCAACACAGGGCAGGTCCCCACATCCCGCACAAGTGGTAGAAGCCAGAGAGGAGGACAGCCGACAGCAGCATGGCCCTGCCACCGGGGAAGTGACAGCCAGCCTGCAGGAAGGCGCGAGGGGTCAGAGCAGCTCTCGCTCTGCACCAAGGAGCCCACATTGCCTTCGCCCAGCAGAGACCTGGAAACAGAGGCAGAGCGTTCCTGCAGCCTGCCCGATAGCTCCGGGGGGGTTGCTACAGCTTTCCCAGGCAGTCTCACTGCACAAGCCTGTGGAATTTAAAAGCAGACTCTGCCAGCTGGAGTAGGGTATTTAAGGAACCAGCTATGAAGAGAAGACAGCACCAAGGATTTACAGGTAAAATACATATTTTTATTTAAAGGTGTGAATATAGAGGCACAGCGAAGTAGAGAGAGATGAGCAACGGGTTGAAGGATGATGGAAGCGTGGATCAAATTAAACTTATCTGGGATGCATCTAATACTCACATCAAATCCACATACTCTTTCAGCAGGGAGATACCTTCCTGAGTTATAAAGGGTAGGGGAAGGAGGGCTCACATCTTTGTCCCTAAATATATCATTTGCATCTCTCAAATCTGAGCCAGTGGAAGAGTCAAACACTGCGAGCCAAATCCTATTTAATTTATTCAGCAACACATCTGTGTGAAATATAGTCCAATTACAGGCATTAAGTTACTTTGCCATGGCTGCAGCCATTTGGCTTTTATTTCCAGCAGGCTCTAATTAAATTATCACAATGCAGGAGCAGACAAGTTTCCCTTATACGTGACTGCAATTAAAGACATGCAATCACAACATTTTTTAAAGTGACTCCAATCAATTGGTTACGGTAAAGAGTACCATGTAATACGGCAGTGACTCCACCATTAAGACTGAAAGAGGGTTTCTATTTCCATAATCTAGTTCCCTTTTATTACAAGTTCTGCTCTTGGATAATTTATTTAAAGTTCATTATGTGTCTACAGCATATATCATTTACCCTCAGCTTGGGCTGCAGAAGTCCCATTATGGCCAATTACTTAGTGTGATAAAATCTGCCACAGTACAAACTGTTCTTTAATTAGATTTAAGTTTTGTCTAAATTCTATTTGTAATTCAGACAGCAAAATAGTAAGGCCAACAGCCAAGACTTGCTGTCTCCTTTCTTTGGTCCCTGTGGTAACCTGTTATGTTGGATGTAATCTATGGGGAATTCAGAACCAAGATCCCCACACCCATGTGCTACTTTTGCAATGCTTGTCCCCACCTTGGGTTTTCTTAAGCAGCACTGGGCTTGGGGGTGGCTTGGCCTGTGAGGGAGTCCCAGATTCCCTGACCCGAATCCAGCCCTATCGGACACCTCACCGATAACAAAAGGGATGGCTCTGAAAGCACCTGAGAGTGAGTGGCCGTGACTGAGTGCCACTGCCGCGCTCTTCGGCGATCGTAGGTATTTGCTCTCCAGCCCATATAGGTTTGCTGCAGCAACACGGTGGTTGGTGGAAAAAAAGCTGCTGACAAAATGATAGTCCTACAAACCCACGAAGGAAGTGGTGCGGGGAGCAGCACCCAGCCGTGCCCTTCAGTTTGCTTAATAGCTGCGCACTGTAAGCACCATGGTATGTACAGCTCTGGTGCTTCCAGCAGCAGACAGCATGCCGTGACCTGCTGCTGCAGGATGGGGCCTTTGCTATTAACCTGGTTAACCATTAGCCTTACCAGAGGCTTCAAGTTTGGGGGCAACGGTATCGTGCATTACTTCTTAATTGAATTAGAGCCACTGGATTTATCTAAACCACCTCCTGCACCACCCCCAGCCATGAGAAGAGGCTTGAAGCCATTTTGCTCTTTAAAAACAAATGCCAGTGTTTGGCATGCGTCTTCTCAAGCTCCAGCTTCAGTTTTCAAAGTGTTTTAAATATGTTTGAACCAAATGTTCTACACGAATTTGAATTCAAATCCTGCAGCCTGTCTCTGTGAGATCTCACAAGTGAGTGAGGGTAGAAGCTACATAAAGAAAATTCAAAGTGGAACAAGAAATTGAAGTCATGATTCAGTAGGGTCCATTCTAACAGATGCAGGCCACAGTAATTTGAGGACAGGCATCATCCTGTAAGAAGTTGTGTTCCTCCAGAAAAAATTCTGCTAGAGTTTTATTCATTTTTTTCCATCAAAACATTTACTCCACTTTAAAAAAAAGAAGGCATTTACAAAAATGCACTTGCTGGATGCAATGTTAGCAGTTATTTGCCATGTGCTTCAGTGGCCCCATATTTTCTGTTGCAGAGACTATGAACTGGGCTATCTTTATGTCCCTTGAATCCTGTTCAAGTCCCATATTGTATCTTGCAAAAGGCTGCTTTGCAAAGTTGGATGAATTTATTCTGATATTTCAGAAAACTACGATCTGTGACTACTGTCTAAGCAAAACACCATTTAAAAACTTTACAGGGATAGAAATTTACAGCTAATGACAAGCCTAAAAATAATTTTATTTCTTTACAACATCAATCTTGTTAATGGACTAAAAGAATGAAATATTCCCATATCTGTTGTTTCCAAGGAGCAGGGAGAAAAATGTTAACCAACTCCAGCATCAAAAAGAATATGAAAACATTTCAACATCTGCCCTGTTTTCCATTTAATTAACAAGGATGCAAATAGCATTTATGGAGCAGTTAGGTTCTGGACATTCCTCTCTATACTTTTGGTCAGTAGAACAACACAACTAGTCTGTCCTTCTGCTCCACTTGACACCTGTTGAGAGAAGAAGGTGAACTTTATATAGCAGGGACATACATCACACACTGTGGAGCTGGGAATCCCTTATATTACAGCTTCATTGTGCCTGTGCATACCCTTCCCTGAAAATATGTATTTTAAAATAAAATTGTGTCTATCTATATATAGGTATGATAAAAGGCCTCTAGATCAGCATTAGTTCTCATCAAAGGAGCAAGACCTTTCCTTATTCAATAATGGTACTTTAATAGTAGCACTGATGGGAAGTTGAAAGGAAAGACCTCTTTATTAGTTGTTTTTAATGGGCTACGAGAAGGTCTTACCTGTCAATGAACACTAAGCATTTCTCTCTTCCTCTAAGCACTAAAGAAAAAACATGAACAGAACAAATGATGACTTAGTCAATCCCACCACCTGGTGAGACACTGAAGGTGATTTTCCCAACTTCACTGCTGTGGAAGTTGGTCTGAAGACTTTGTACCTCCCCACTATGTACAGCATCATCTTCCTGGTGGGCTTCCCAGGAAACATCATTGCAATTTGTGTTTACAGCTTCAAGATGAGGCTTTGGAAGACCAGCACCATCATCATGCTGAACCCGGTGCTCACAGACCTGCTCTACCTTACCAGCCTTCCTTTCCTGATACACTACTATGCCAGTGGGGAGCACTGGATCTTTGGTGAATTCATGTGCAAGTTCATCTGCTTCGGCTTCCACTTCAACTTGTACAGCAGAATCCTCTTCCTCACTTGCTTCAGCGCCTTCAGCTACGTGGTGATTGTCCACCCTATGAAGTTCTTCCACATCCAGAGAAAGTGGTGGACAGCAGTGGCTTGTGCAGCCATTCGGGTGATCTCATGGGCAGCTGTCAGCCCTGTCAACTTCTTGACCTCCTCAAAAGAAGCACAAAACAGATCCTTACGCCTCAACCTTACCAGCTCTGAAAACCTGGGCACAGTCAGATGGCTGCTGACCAGCCTGGCTGCCTTTTTGCCCTTGCTGACGGTGACTACATGCTCATTATTTACACCTTGGCTACTGGGCCCCACATGTGGGCTTGCTACAAACAAAAGGCTTGCAGACTCGCTGTCATCCTCTTGGTGGTCTTCTATGTGTGCTTCCTCCCCTTCCACCTCTTTCAGGTGGCTTGGGTTGAACTACAGTTGTGTCCAGTCAGCTGTCATGTGACCAAGTCAGAAATTGCATTAAAGTTATGAAGGAATCCCAGCAAACCTGGGGTGGCTTTGGTGCTGTAAGCTCCTGCAAAGGCAGGTGTCTTGATAGGGTAGCAAGAATTGCAGCTGGCTTCTCCCTCTCCCTGCAGTAGAGCACTTCTCAAAAAGCGTGCTTGGGAGCAGGTTTATATATACCTCTTTTAGCAATCAAAGAACAGGGAGTGAAAAGAAAAGATTGTAAGCCACCTCGAAGGTGGGATGTAAAACCACCCAGCCGGACTGTTTCCAAAGACACTTGGGAATTGCAGGGTTCTCTCTCTTCAGGCTTTGCGATTGATTACAGAAACATGGAGAGCTTAGTTTGGACATGAGAACAACTTCCATTGATTTCAGTGTTGTCACTGATGTAGTGCTTAGTTTATTACAGCCCAAGCAAAATGCAGTAGATATTGTCACGGTTGCTTAAACTGCTGAATTACATTCTTAGAAAGCACCTAGATAAATCTGATGCTTTCAAATGAGATGGACCTGATAAACTTCAGCATAGGGCACTGAGGAACTGAATGGTGAAATCTCAGAGCTGGCCTAGGGAAGGATGAGAGGAATACCACAGGAAGACATACATGGTGAATGCAAGGAGACAGATAGATATGTGTACACAAGGAGGTAGATATATATAAAAGGAGATATATAGATATATATATATATGGAAAATATGGAGGAACAAGGAATTAACAGTCACATTAACATCCATTTCAGAAAAATACTGAAGCAAACAATCAGGTGATGAGTCTACAGAAGATGAATACAGGTGAGTACCAGCCAGTATGGATCTATCAGCTATGTACAATCCCAGATCGTTCTGATTTCCTACTACAACAAATTAACAGGCTTGTACGTGAAGGAAAACAAGATGTCATATATCTTGACTCCAGAAGGAGTTTTGTCTGAGATTACACTCTTGTGTATAAGCTAAGGAAACAGTCTGGAGGAAACTGTTTTTGCTGGTTACAGAGCTGCACTCAGAGTGGAGATATTAGTGATTTACTATCAGAGTAGAGGGAGCCACTGAGTGGGGATTTGACCAGTCTGTCCTGGGTTTAAGGATATTTAGTGTTTTCATTAACAAATTGGATGATGAAATAAAGTCTGGTTATTATATTTGCAGATGACATGAAGCTGAGAGGACAAAATTACGTTGACAAATTGCGGCTATGGTCTGCAAATGCACAGGATGCTATTAGACAGTGACAGGTGCAAAGTACTATGTTTAAGTAGAAATAATGAACTGTGCAAACAAAAGGAGAAAAAGAATATTTAGGTAGCAGTTCGGCAGAGAAAGATCTGTGGTTACTGTGAATCACAGGCTGGACAGGAGCCAACAGTTTCAGTGGGCTGACAGTGTGTGCTGTGGCAAAAAGGGCAGATGCCATGCTGGGATGTATGAATAAGAAGATAATGTGCAAGATTTGTGTAGCAGCCCTTACACCCTTTGCAGCCTTGTTACCCTCTCAGCTGGAGCACCATGCTGCCCTTCAGGGAAGACAGATGAGCGCTCAGAGAAACGACCAATGGGGAAGGAACCAGACAGAAAACCAAATGGTCTTAAAACCCTCAGGGGTGGATATCAGGATGGACCTTGTCTCAGGATGGGTGATGAACCACTGGACAGGACAGGAGGAGTCTCCACTGCTGGGTCTCCCTCGGAGCAGGCTAGCCAGGTGCTTAGCAAGAGGGACACAGGCCTGCCTGGCCTCTGGAGGTCCCTTTTGGCCACGAGGCTCTGCGATTAGCCATACATTGCCAGCAACATCGGTGCTAGTGAAACAAGTAGTGCCCGGGAGCATCCCCAGTGCCAGAGGTTGTCGCACCGCACTGCCGTGGCTTTGGGGAGCCTCAGGCAGGTGGCTGGCTGGCGGCAGCCAGCACACTACAGCAAAGCCCAGGCTCCCACCAGGAGTTAGCACCGCGCCCCATGGGCAGCCTGCACACAGGCAGTGCTGCACAGGTACTGCACCTACATAGGACAAATGATGACGACGTAGTGTTTTAACGTGCCTTGTGGGTATTTAAAATACTTTATTTGGTAAAGGCTAAGCCATTAGATACATCTTTTTGAAGCAGTGCTACCAGCCTTTTGACCTATTTTCTCTTTTAGATTGTCCTCTTCTTTATTGTTGTCAAAGTCTGAATTTTACCGATTGCCACTAGGCGGTGATCATTCATGGTCAAGCTACCTGGTTTCACATATGCATGGTTGATTCAAATCCACAAGTTACACAAATACACAAGACGATTCACATGAAAGAGATATTTTCTGACCTAGATTCATAACATCCCAGCTCCCCAACATGGGCAAAAAGTACAAATGAACTGCATCAATTTCTTTTCCACGTAAGTGAAAGCAGAAGATGCGACTACCAGTTACACATACACATCTGAAGGAGTGGATTAAAAATTATCTTTTTTCCTCTCTCAGAGCATTTTTAATTCTTGTTCTCAGAAGCTCTTCCTTCTCAAGCCCAAGCCGAGCTTATCACACATGAACAGAAGCTCTTAAAATACAACTACACATACAATATAAAATGGAACAGCTGAAGGTAAAAAGTGTGAAATGGAAGTGCTCAAGGTTTTCCACCTCTGACAGCAAGAGTGACAGTCCCACAGTTTCAGTGACTTGGAGAGGGGCTACCTTTTTTTCTACTCCTCTCTTGCCTTAACATAGCTGTTGTTTGGTTGCATTCTTCCTATCTCACCTGCTCATCCACCATCTCTCTTCATTTAGTTTGGGCTAAACTAGCTGATTTTGAAGTGCCAAAGTAGATTAGGGAATGCTCCTGGGAGCCGTAGTTTGCTGGTGGGGCAAGAACCTCCAAGAGAAGAGTGGTCACGTCTTCCAGTAGCATGGCTGGATCTGGAAAAGGAAAAAAGCTCAACCATAACACAGACATTTTTAAAGCATTCAAGGACTGCTCAGGTGCTCTGCAGGACTGAGAGATCATTATCTCGTGCAACTCATTCCTTTTGCTTACTCTGAAGGGTGACATCTCGATAGCTTCTATTTTTAGCAGCTGTTAAATTTACTGCTGAAACAAGGATAAGTGCTTCAATTGCAGTAAACAGGAGACACTCTCCAACCTCTGTATATACAGTGTGACAACACAGCTACATAAATTACTACACTATTGCAGGCTAATTCACAGCATAGTTATGCTCCAGTAACCAAGCTTCTGTCAGAAGTCTCTAGCAGGTTTGTTTGCAAAGACAGTTATGTCAACTCACGTACCTAGCAGCAAGCTGCACTCTGCCTGGGACTATAGAGGGACCAAGAGAATAACTTTGCAAGGTAAATGGGGTTCACACCTCTCAGAGGAATGTCAACTCTGATGATGCTAAAGATGGAATTTTGGAATTGCCGACTGGTTTTGTAGGCATGTCGAACCTTGTTCTTCACAGTGACTCACATACTGTCACAGACTGCAGCAGAGCTATTTTCTACCCTTAATTGTCAGGAAAGGCAATCAGCAATCTTTTTCCTTTTCTCCCCAAATCATGTGTTCCCGTGAGAAGTGAAAGCAAAAGGCCCTCCTTGTATTCAAACCTCCCAGAGAGCAGAAATACTGACTGTAATGTTCTGCATAAAAAAAAAAAAAAGTTTGCAAAATCCATCCTGATCCTGGTCGTGCATCTAGCTGCCTTTCAAGCAATTCTGTGTCATACTGAACACCTAAGAAGAAAGAGAGTGTGAAGCAGACTGCATGTAGCATCAAAATGAATAGCTCGGTAAACAGCTAGTAGAGAGAAAGGCTCAAATAGCTTGAGAACAGTCTACTCTTACCAGGTCTGTGTTGGATATTGATGTGAGACAAGGCTGCAATTTTATCCCGACGTAATGGTATGCGCTGTAGGGGTGCTGCTGCATTAGCTGTACAGTGTAACTCTCTGGTAGTGATCCACCACATGAAGCGGAGGGTAGTGCCAGCCTCACCGCTGAGTCCTTTAGACTTCAGATAGATGTTGTCATTTTGCTGATAAGGCTAAGCGAGCAGAATAAATGTTGAATGACTGCTTCCATCTGTCAATATTTTGTACTCTGAAAATGCAGGTCGAGTGAACCTAAACTTTAAAGCGGCAAACAACAAACGAACACATCACTATTCAACTCCTACGAGCCCCAAACTGTATTTGCCTTTCCCTGCCACCAGAAAAGGAGAAGAGATATAAAGGAAAATACTTTGTGTGTTCCTTCACAGCTGCCTTACATTTTGTGAAAGTAGAGGTATTCAGCAGTGCCAGCTGATGCCACTTCAATGTAAAGGCCACACAATTAAGTGTATTTCAAGGCTTTTTTTTCTCAATAGCTACTGGAAAAGAGCAGTAATTTTGACTAAGGTGTCTTGCTGACTCGGGTGCCTGAGCCTGCTGGATGCTGCACTGGAGAACAGAGCGAGTCAGGTGCCTTCTAAAGCAAGAGAAAAAATACATTCCTGTTTTTAGTCAGAGCTGGACTCTGGGACCAAGAATGAGAAAAAGTAAAGTTGGTAAACACTGGGCTGAGTGTCTTTCTAAAGTAAAATTTAAAGCTCAAATGCCAACTTTTTAAAACACACAGAGGGAACATGATTTTTTGGGGCTGCTGCAGGCAAGTATAATGCAGAGTATGTTGGATTCATCATTGCTAGAACATTCAAAGGCATTTGAATTCAAAGGTATTTTATCTTCTAAGATCTCTCCTCAGTTTCTTTGCTCCCCAAAATGGTTGATATCACTGATTTCTAAACCAAAAGAGAGGCGGTTGTCTGGAAGCTATAGTACTGGTGATGCTCTCCACTCTTAAAAGGAAAAGAAAGTTCTGAGCTCTGGGTTTTTTTTAAAAAGGGGAAATATATGTTTTTCCAAATTACTTTATGGATTTCCTTTTACTTTGTAAAATAGTGAAAGAAGATAAGGTGAAGAAGAAAGAAATACAACTTTGTGCACAGACAGACAATGCCATACTGAATCCTAATAAAGCAAAGTAGAAGGTATAGTTCCTGGAGACA